TGTTTTCGATCACAMGCAACCGAYGWGCCTTGCCGACGTGAAATACTTRCGATTATAATGAACTTTTTATGCAKATAGCAGACAGTTTGCRAAAATTGAAGCGTGGAAAAGAAGGGGGAAAAAACAAGAACAATAAAACGTGCGGCTCAATGCATGCGCGTATATATATATAAASTGTATATGTGTGTCACTTTGTCATGTGTATGCTTTGATAGCTGACATATATGGATACTGGAAGCATAAAGAAAACATTTGCATTACTTATGACATGTGCGTGTTGTTTTTGTATTTAAATATACATATTCGCATATTTGCCACTCTACCCGAAAGTCAACAGTTATAACTCGAAAATAAGCATCCGTGGTTATATGCATATGTATGTATATGTATAATATATACGCTGACATCACAACTTCTTGCTGCCATCGTAGTTAACTTGGCGGCTGCCAACGTCGTTTGCTTGGCCAATTTACCACCAACGACAGCGATATATTGGCAGCTATGACGTTAACTATGACTCGGACTGTCGGCGGCATTGCTAGTAGCAACTGTGGTAGCCACCACACCATCGCCTTGAAAGCGTTGACATTTTTGCCAGCAACAGCACAATCGCTTTGACGTGTGTCTGACTGCGTCTCAGCGCATTGCCTTGATATCAACGAGTGTTTCGTGTGCTCATACAAAAATAACAACTGTTTTGTTTTTTATTTTGTTTACTTTATTTTCTTACTAGAGGACCCGTCCACGCTTCACCGTGGCTGATACATAGATAATACTCTACTGCCATCTATATGATTTCTATTAGTAGAATTGTAACTATTAGTTAATGAGATATAGCATTTGTGAAGCTACTTCTGTAAGTTTACAAACAAATGGATCATAARGCATTTCGTGTGTTAATAAAGTATTGCTTTTTTGGGGAATTTGGGCTCAGGGAAGTCCACCGTTCAAAAGATATTGCTAAGCTGGAAACAGGCGAAATGAGCAAAGTAGGTGCCTCGCAAGTTCATAATCCAACAAAGAAAGACGAAAAAGGTGGCTGAAAAGGTTATGACATCAGTCTTTTGGGATGCACGTGGTATAATACATACTCAACGACTGAYTACCGAGCCAGCTATACWCTATTTCACTGCGTTTTTGGTTGCAGTTATTTTCTACTATTCCAAATACTTAGCAATTGTATATATTATTAGRGGAAAAATCTGTTTAAAAATGTACACATACTATATATTCAAATGATTTCTACAAACATAAATTTTGAACAAATGCTTATGATTTAAAATATATATATTTTTTATTTATGAGTTGTGTTAAATTTTGACATAACGAGACAAAAAGTGTCCTATGTCCTTATCCTGGTTCTAAGCTACCTCCCTACCAATTATCAGCCAAATCGGTTCGGCCGTTSTTGAGTTATAAATGGTGTAACTAACACAACTTTCTTTTTTATACTCTCGCAACCAAGTGGCTTAGGAGARTATTATAGTTTTGTTCACATAACGGTTGTTTGTAAGTCATTAAACTAAGAGGGTCAGATATAGGGTTATATATACCAAAGTGATCAGGGTGACGAGTAGAGTGGAAATCCGGATGTCTGTCTGTCCATCCAACCGTCCGTGCAAGCTGTGAGTTGAATAAAAATTGATATCTTGATGAAACTTGGTACACTTATTTGATGGCACCATAAGAAGGCTAAGTTCTAAAATGGGAGAAATCGGAGCACTGCCATGCCCACAAAATGGCAATAACCAAAACTTATAAAGAGCTATAACTAAGCCACAAATAAAGATATGAAAGTAAAATTTGTTACAAAGGATCGAACTAGGAGGGTCATATTTGGACTTTTTTTTTTTTTTGGAAAAGTGGGCATGGTCCCGCCCCTACWAAGTTTTTTGCAAATATCTCGTAAACTACTACAGCTATATTAACGAAACTTTCAGAGGTCCGCCCACCTGCCATAYAAATGTTATGTTGAAATCTACTAAAAATGCTTTAATTTGGTAAGGAAAAACACAAGAAACCTTAAATTTCATGRCAAAGATGACACAGAGGGGTTACATTCAAATTTAAAATGGGCGTGTCTCCGCCACTTATGGGTCTAAAACCATATCTCAGAAACTACTCGACAAAATCCAGCGAAAATCRGTTCGACCCATTTCCGTAGCATCTATGGTTCAAAATTGGGCGAAATAATTCCCAAMCACGCCTACTTCTCATATACCACAATTTTGAAGTCCATCTGATTCGTTCACGTTACAGTATATGAGTTCAACACCAGTGATGATAACGGACCAAAACTTTGCCCAAATACTGTACTTCTAGTGTAGCATAGCCCGAATAAGAATCACCGAGATCAGACCATTTTATTGAAAATGTATATAAATGACGGATAATGAAATCTCGATTATCACTTTATCATGCGAGAGTATAAAGTGTTCGGTGACACCCGATCTTAGCCCTTCCTTACTTGTTATATATAGATTTATATTGTGCTGGAATTTTTTTATGTACACAGATTTTTAGGTTTGGAGAGCTTTCTCACAAGCCCTTTCAAACGCACAATTTGACGCACAACTCTTTCCTATAAGCGTCATAATGCATTGGCTCCTCTTATGCCCCGTATAATGCTGATTATTAAAGTAATATTATTTGCCAGTCAAAGTTTGGATTAAAATGATGTGAAGTCAGCAAAGGATTGACTTCTTAAACGCAGGAAGAAAATGCTTCATATTATATTAAAGCATGTATGCATACTTATATACATACATATATACATATATAGACTACCAGTTTGTAGCGCGAAACACGAACAGCGTGGATAAGCAATCATAAAAAAAACAAGCAGATTTGCGTATCTAGCTAGAAATAGCTGACAAATTCACTTCCTACGCACACATTTTATGATTTTTTATTTTATGGCGGCCCATCGTAGGCACGCTCACTTCCCTTGTCGTAAGTATGTACCATAAGTGTGTATTTACAGATTTACATATAACTAAGTATCCTCGTAACCATATATTTACATCAAAATATTATTAGCGTGATAAAGCACATATGCGCATATATATACATATTAACTTATGTATATTATTGCAACTTCTTCTGGCAAAACGCTATAAGCTCTGCCGCATCTTCAACACCTGGGTTCAACCACATTTGCGGCGTCATAAGCCGTCTTACTGCTCATCTATTTACATTTTTTGGCGCATTTGCCTCAACACCTCTAAATTATGGTCGCAATTGCATACATACTGATTTATATATAAACAAGTGAAGGGTGTTTTTTTTAGAAAAAAGGTTTCCAAGAAAAATTAAAAATAATATAATATATATAATGTTTTGACCCAGAATTTAGCTTCATTTTAACTATAAGAATTTGCCATTATGTTTTACAAATTATTTCAGGCAAATGGCCGCTGTGGCTAGCTTGCATAGATTCCAGCCGAGAGGCTCAATTTTCGACCACATTTGCATCAGTTACAAACGCATGTTGGCAAAAACGCGGCTAGTATTCTCTTCATACAAAGGAACAATCATTTAGAGCTTATCGAGGACTTCACATAATCCTATAAAACAGGTCTAGCGATGTTCATGTCAAACAATGCAATATACTATAATGAAATATATAATGCGATATACTTGTATAATTTGCTCAAAACAGTTTACATCAATAATTGATTATTTCGTTGGTTATATGGCATGTGTCATCGTCTTATTGGAAAGAAAGTTTGTCTACTTCAACTTCCTTTAATTCAGGCACTAAAAAGTCATTCATCAAAAATACCATACATATAGCGTTCTCCGTTGACTGTAAATTATGACCGACTTCATTTTTGAAGAAATATGGACCAATGATTCTCTCTGTTGATAGAGTACACCATACGGCATTTGAACAATGGGTTGTGAATTATCACTCCAAATGTGAAAATTTTGCTTATTAACGCACCCATTCAGGCAAATGTGTCCTTAAAATGAAAACACGGCATATTTATGACCTTTCTCGCTGATCCTYTGCAAGGAATCTAATAGTCTTCCCYACTACATCCACTTTCACCGTATTCACGAACTGGACAAAGGAGTACAGACTAGACAATAGATGACGTTAAAATTCTGACTGTCAACGATCTTAGTTGTCTTCATACGTCCGCGACTGTTGATGGKTCCGGTCGAACATTTACATAGCGAAGTCCGTATGTTTCAGGTTAAGAATCTTACTCGAAGCGGAGCCGACTCCTAGCAACATCGGGAAGTGTTTTCTTGACTAAGTCGACAACATTATATAACACGCCGACCAGGTTTCTGACGCAACTCACTTCAGACACGCACTGGCCGCTATTCAAAGTGAAGCCATTAACACTTTCACCGACTCCCTCACAGTGAATGCCGTACTTGGAGTCACACCAGTCGAGTTTGAGATGTGAAGACAAGACAATACTTCGTTAATTTCACGATTGGCCAGTAAGATCGTATGATATCAAAATGTTAGACTGTTTTATGTGGGAATATGTAAAGTCTGAAGCCTATATGGACAATTAAGCTTCTTTTAAGGCTTTAGATCAAAACATCACTCTTCACTCTTGTCATTCGACAGTTACCAGTCAAAATGCTCAAATGAGTCATCGTAAATTGGACTCAACGGATAAACCATCTGAGACGTAGCCAGGCAACATTTGAGAGAAATAATCTTGATAACAAGAACAGAATGTCTTTTCGGAATAAACATTCTAAAAAGTAGGGAACCTCGAAATGTAACACCCTTTACTATGCAAACTAATAGAAGGAAATTTGTTGATTATTGATATAATATATATTATATTGGTCTAAAAATAAGACACACTTCACTTGTTTACCCAACTTCTAGGTTTATCAAATTATAATAAAAGCAACAAATACCTGAAACTATTAAATTAACTAATTAAAGTAGCCATCAAAATACGAATCTCAGTGTAGTTGCAGCGAGCAACGAGTTCTAACTGTACATTTTCACGCTAATAATTCAGATGCGTGCGCGAATACGCCGTTGGTTTACAGACTTAATTCTGAGAACCACTATATGCTCAGCCAACGTCCTCGCTATACTACCATTTCGTTACAACAAAACCAAACGAAGAATGGAATCCTCGAAATTATAGCCTAAGTATACCATCAGCATCAAAGTGACCATCCTTTTTCTGCTCATCTGGACTCGACCCACAAAAGATCGTATAAGTGTCGATATTCGATATTTTTACGGCACGATATACACGATTGTCCTCATTATGTGGGCGAATTTGCGTGACCGCAAGAGTCCCTTGGATTTCTTCAACCCAATGTTTGATTGTGGAATGTGAGTGCTTTTGTATTTATAGGGAACTCAAGCGGGAATGTGAAGCTTTCGACAACTACATCATATGGAAGGCTGTTCCAACTCTGATGSAAAATGCCTCCTTCGTCAGTGCGGTTTATGATATTAGCGGTTTTAGTTGGGTCGCTCAAGTGCTGTTGCTAATTTTCACATATTTCGTAAAGCGGTCGGTAACATACTACGAGTATAACAGAGGAAATTAGTATTCTCGSTGTTATTTATGTGCGCTTCTTGGGCATTTTTCGCCGGTGTACGAATATGTGAGCAACAAGCCTTGCTGATGGTCGCCGTGTTGACTGGTTCGAATATATTGAGCTTGTYTTTTGCAAAGCTTATTTGGACCGGCAAGGTTATGAAAATGAGTGTTTGGAATATCTGCGATAATCTGTAAATGGTTCTGATTAACTTTGCTGGTTAACAATAACTATCCGTGAATTGACGGCGAACTCTTCGCCAATAACAGCAAATTTACTCCGAAATTTTAATGACTTTTGASTTTTGGACAAATACCTGTAGCGAAMTGTGAGTTTGAGATGCGATCTGCAGACAGTAATGTGTTATATAAATTTTATATATTTTCAATATGTAATGTATATGGTACAATTCTCATTTATTTGTTGTGATATCCAATTGAAATTCAGTTTGTGTGACTTGATAGACCTAAACCACGTGACCGGTTGCAGAGTTTTATTCACAATGATTTTATATTTTATATATTTTGTTCAACTTGGCAATAATGCTACATGAAATAAAAATGAAGACATTTAAGTTGAAGATCTGTGKTAAGTCCAAATCTTATCCTTAAAAAGCTACCGTAATGGAAGTGAGGAGTACATATAACAGTTATTTCACGACTCGAAAAAATTTCCTTTGAAATATTTAATAAATATGTCTATACAATTATGTAACCGTTTAAGTTCGAAAACATATTTTCATATTGTATATAATAGTTTAAATTGTATCTCTAACAACAAGTATGAGGATGTTCGATACTGAGCGCAGTTGAAATAGAACTTCGAATAATAACAAATAACGAACGATTTTCGAGATATCTCACGCTGCTTAGATTGGTACTTTTTTATGTGAGTACATAATATTCGGTTTCCCGCGGGCTTAATATACTTTTAGCGGCTTCATACATGACATCTCGACAAAGTCCACCTTTAGCCTTTTGGAACTACTGTCCAATTCTTCCTCCGTGAAATTTATTGGTAATATCTGTTTTGCCTTTGAGATCGTTTACCATTATTGTTGTGAATACTGATCAGTCTTTGGCAGTTGGTTTTTCAGATTTCTTGGAAGACAGCTGCCAAAAAAATGACCACTTGTTCTAAAAGACAAGGCAATCATTTGCTTGGTAGTGATCTGTGCGTGAATCACGTTTGGTGGGTACGGGTCACCTTGAAGCATCCATACAGTCGACTGCAGCTTACTTTCGGGCTTATACGCTTAAATCCATGATTCATCGCCTGCACATAAAGGGTTTGTGAGGAAAGTAATAGAACTGATTTTCTATCGCCGCGACTRTACTTCGGAGCGTGCGCGCACCGACTGGATTCGCTGGAGGGCGTTCCTGGCTAACGCACGAACGGCTGGTTATCCACGAGCGGCTGATCAATAATCTGCGAGCACCTGGAGTGTCAGGACAAACATTTTTGCGCGATGGGTTTCTGTAAGTGGTGCAAGCCGAAAATTTAGCGTTCGTTAAAGCAAGAGGTACGCGATTAAATTCTGTGTGAAACTCGGTAAATCAGCGAAGGAGACATTTGATATGATCAAGTAGGTTTATTCTGATATTTGCCTAAGCATAAGTGGTGTGTTTCGGTGGCACGAGGACTTTTTGGAGGGCCGGAAAGARGTAGCTGATAAAGACGGAAAGAATGAAAAATCTAAAGTGCAAACGGTACTTATTGTCTTTTTTGACATCAAAGGCRTCGTCCAGATGAATTTGTTCCTCCTGGACAAGTTTTCCGTGGAAGTCCTCAAGAGAATCAAATGAAGAGTCAATCGGGTCCGACAAGTCATCGTAGCCACTTAGAAGTTGCACCACGACAACGCCCAGGCTCACACCGCTTTTCTTGGGAACAGCTACCTAACCAAGGCCGGCATGCCAATGCTTCCGCAGCTGCCTTACCTGACCTTCTTATTTCCTTACCTGAAAAAGTCGATGAAGGGAAAGCATTTCGAGATGACAGAGGGGATCCAAGCATCATGCAMATCGTTTCTCAAGGCTATTCCGGAGAATGATTTTCGTGACGCCTTCAATGCTTGCGAATCGCGCTGGTAKCGCCGCTTCGACGCAGAAGGAGCCTATTTTGAGAGGTTTTAAAGAATTGTAAACACAGCACCGCTATCATATATTTTCAACATTTCTCTCAATCAATCGGCACCAGCATTTTTAAGTAATCTCAARCACATAATAACTCACTTGATAATATATTCCGGAGCAACTGTTGATTTTGAATGATCTTTATGAAGCTTGTCTTGTAGTGASCTAAGACCTCGATAGAATTCATCATACCATAAATGGTTTTTGATGGAGCTTCATCGCCATAAATTGAATTAAGTTTATTCATCGAAAGTTATAAGAAATAGTTAGAAATGTCGAAAATGTTCGCGATTAAAAATTTTTTTTTTGTCCGAGATGAACATTTTAAGTTACTGTAAACAACACGAACAGTGGTCGYATGTTAAAACGTGCTGAGTATATAAACATTCGAAATGTCAAACATTACGATAATGTTGTGAGTTGCCGGATTGCAACACTAGGGTTGACAAATTCCGAAATGTAAAAGGCAACCCACGTACCACGCACTGTGACAACATTCGCGCCACTATCTGTTGGATGTCTTCATTCAATAATTACGAAAGCTTCTTATCTGATAGCGTTGGACTGTAGTCCACTTACCACTTAGTTCATTTCAGTAATTATTTATTCGCTGTTGTTGTGGATATTCATAAGTGCACATTTTTCCAGCAAATGCAGTTACCGTTTGTCTTTCCCGAACGAATAATGGGTCAACGTCTTCGSAAGCGCATTTCAAATATTTTACTCAGAGTAACAGTTGTGTCTTCCATCTGCTTCGGGCTGCTACCATTTTATTATAATACACAACAACAACGCTTCGTCTCTTCAAAACGGTTATTAATTTATAACATTTGCGTAAATGTCACATTTCTCATAATCATGACATTTCTTTTGCCGATATTTTCCGATTTCGATGATGYTTTTGGAGCTGGCGATCCGCTCGCCGAACTATTAAATCGCCTAACTATATACATCAGCTTTAGTGGCATACTAACAACATGGTGGATTAATTGGACCAGCCGTCAGCGACTGCAGCAGCTCTTCAATGAGTTCGCTAGTATTGAAATAGATTATCTATATCGTTATAAATACTTTACCGATGATTGTGTGACTTTCGATTATTATGTGTTTTGGAAGGTTTTCGCGACCCTTTTACAAAACTTGTCATTTTTCTATAGCATCGCGGTAGCTGATAATCGCGGCTGGTTGTTTGTTATATTCATGTGTAGCCTGGCCTTGCTTACGAATGTAATTTTCCACGTCTCAAGTCATTTCTTTCTGGCCGTATTGTTTACTTATCGCTTTACTTGGGTCTTGAATCGRCGTTTGGCAAGTATGGCCGGCAACGAAGTGTCATCAAGTCGGCTGCGGGTTTTGAGCAAAGAAATCGATAGCATWGCTTGCATCTACACACGCTTGATTCGGCTGTGCGCGCACTATACACGCATACATCAATACCAATTGTTGCTCTTGTTCGGCTCGATGACCCTTTGCAATATTGAAGTGCTATTCTACGTGCGCCTGCTTTGGAGCGGCAAAGTGAGCAAGTTGAACGCCTTCAATGTTTTTGCAATATTGCAAATAGTTGTTGTAAATATATTGGACTTTTGGCTGACAATAACAATATGTGAGCAGGCGTTGGTGACGTCCCAGAAAAYGGTGGAAATACTACGTGATTTCATTGAGAACCCCAAATATTTGATAGGTGTGGATCGGAGCGTGAGTGTTCTACTTGTATTTCAATTCTTTCCTTATTTATACGAACATATATTTAAAGTTTCACCTTTGCAGTTGGAAAGCTTTGCCATCATTTGCAGCAACACAAAGTTGCGGTTTAATTTGTGCGGCTTATTTGACATCAATCACTCGAGCGGTCTCAATTTCCTGCTGACGATGATATTATACCTTATATATTTAATACAATATTATCATGAAAATCTATAGAAATAAGGGGTATGAATGAATGATAATGAGGAATGCACTGCGACCTTTGGTCTATTGTGCCCTCTACAACTGAGGGGGTAACTGAAGAAAAGTTTTGTGGAGCTTCTTCGAAAAAATGGCTTTACATCAAATGAAGGTGCAGCTAAACTCCGCATGATTGGCTAGAAATAAATTATTCACAAAAATGGTTAGACGATTCACAAGAGTCAAGTTTTGATTACGTCCTGATTATCACTGAATGCTTTTAGCCATTTAAATAATTGTGTTTGTAATGTAGTAGACCCCCAAAAACATTTTCTACTTAACATCATTATATACTGTGTAATAACGAGTATATTTTACAACGACCACAGAACAATGTTTGCAAGTCGTAAAAATTTATTAACAAAATAATGGGTTGGTTCATCGCAAGCTTTAACCTATATTCGGTCGTCATAAACGCTCAGAAGAGTCGGTTCGCGTTCGGTCGACATTATCGCCTAGTAGAATTCAAGTTTGTTTTTGAACCACGATTGCTCTAGTGTATAATACGCCATCCTTAGAGACGTCATACAGGGCCCACCGAACACGTTTTTCCTGTCGTAGAACAGAGTATCGAAGAAGATCCGAATAAGTCCAACAATTGGACCTCTGCTCAACCATTTTATAGAAGATTTTCTGGAAGGATCTTGGTTTGTGGGGTTACAAAGACCAACTCGTGCAAGAATTGAAGCCGAATGACAATATCGATTTTCACAAATTTMGTTTTAATTTGAATGGGTATACAAATGTATTAAAAGCCAAAAATATCGCGTTTGAACGATGTAGAGGAGATAACCTCGAAACAATTGATCTTTTGAAAGAGAATATTCAGCGAGTCATTAGTCTCTCKGCTGAAGTTTATCTGAGCTAGCTGCGATAGTCGCTTGCTCGAAATTCTTTGCGAAACATAATGGCAAACTAGCATTTTTATAATCAAGATAAATTCTACTTCACAACACTTATTCATATGTGTTTTAGTTCTTCTTGGAAAGCATCTATCTATAAAGAGCACACTTTATCTTTATACATGTATATAAAAATTACGTGTCACGTTGTTTGTCAGCGATGAATTCCTAAATTACTGAACCGATTTAAACGAAATTTAGCACGCTCTGTCCAGTTCGAATCAACTTAGAAGATAAGAAAAAAATGGCTCCACAATTAGTTGATGTTTATTAAGTACAATCTATTAGGCGGACAACGCTATTAACTTTACAGATAGGCTGATAATCAGACATTAAATTTATAATTTTTTTTCAATGGAATTTATTTGTTGTATGAATATATTCAGAATAAAATCTCATGTMCAATCCCTTGGATTCTTATAACAACAAAAACATTTTCGCCTTTATTCGTAAATAAAATCATTGTATTGAATAGTTTATTATATGAATAATAATATAAAATGTATACCGCAGCAATGAGTGGCCAGATTCACTAGTAAATTTATGAAATATACAAACGAACAAGGTATAACARATGCAATTAGAAGAATAGAGATATATTAGGAAGATATGTCTTAAATATTCACAAAACTTGTTCCTCACCGACTATTTCCTSTTTTCAGATCTCAAAAGTATGCTCGCTTGGAAGAAATTTTCGTCTAATCGTACCACAAATATGACATCGAAAAGTTGGAATGACCCTCCAATAATCAGCGTATCACCCTTGAAGGGAACTATAATGAATACATCTTGCCAAAACAATATATTTTACTATGGTTGGCTRGGGACTTATCAGTTGATCTCTTGTATACATTTCAATAACCGTATTGACTCATAGACAAACGCACATTCCCTATTCATTTGGGTAATTTGTTTACTAATACTTGTCTGTGGACAGCCATTGTGATTAAGTAGACACAACCGACTATTAAGTGAAGAAAGTTAGTGGTAGCACGCTGTGCAACATGTTGCGTTCAAGCTAAAAACGCCAACAACATCACAACACTTATCTGGCAATCATTAAATACAATAATAAATTAATAGCATTCCCAAATCGCTTATTATAATTACTAGCACGATAATTACACAGAACTTCACAGCTGATTCGTATGCGTGCGGGTACAGTAGTCAATATTCGGTTGGCAAAATGCATACAGCACGACGGAAATTCGCAAATTTCATACATTGTTATGTTTTTAAAATCTCAATGCTCCTCGGCCTACTGCCATTCAAGTACAACAAGGAAAAAAGGACTTTTCGGTCTTCGCGCATGGCGCTCAGCTATAGTGTCGTGATTAATACGCTGCTTTTTGCTTGGGTCGTCAAAAACTGGCCGGATATGTCGAACTATGAGCTTTTCGTTGCCAAGCCGYTGTTTTTTATCGTGCAAAACGCCGTCAATTATATGAATTTCGTTGGTATGATTATAATCTTTTGCAGTACCTGGGCTGGTAGAAAACGTCTGTTGCGGCTGTTCAATGAAATCGTCACTGTAAGACACCTATGTGATTCGAAAGCCTTTTTGCGCGATTTCGATGCCAGCACGTTGGAGAATCGCATTATACTGAAGTTTTGCTCAATGTTTCTGCAAAACCTCTTATTTTTCAGCTCAACGTTATATTTCGCGTACAGAATGGATGAGAGCTACTTTTGGGTGCTTATGTTGTCTATCATATTGTTGAATGAGATATTTTTGATATCGAACCAGTTCTATCACAATACGTTCTCCATCAATCACCTCATACTGGCTGTAAATCATCGCTTGCGTTGTTTGAATACCAGAAAGCAGTTGTTGGCTGCTGGTAAGATTAATGAGATTTTTGGTATATATATACGTTTGATACGCCTAATAGCGCACACAACGAAAGCATACGAACAACAGTTACTCGTCATAATCTCGGTGCGTTTGAGCATTGTTGTGCATTGTCTTTTCTCCGCATGCATGCAATTTGGTAGTAAAGGCTTGCAGGTGAATATACTGGAACTGTTATATTACTTGCATGTTATAATGCTAACCTCCTTGGACTATTGGCTGTTAATGGCTGTTTGCGAATCGGTGTGGCGCGCTCAGCAACAGACGGAAGTCGAGCTGAAACATTTCAACACTTTTCGCACTTTGAGCGTTGATCTGGCAAGAGATGTGAGTATAAGCGTATACGAGAGTTCAGATAGCACAGCTAACATAATATTAAATATTCTTAATTTTTCTAGCTCAACACTTTTTCCATATTTTGCKCGATACACAAGTTTCGCTTTCCGCTATGTGGCTTGTTCGAGATAAATTTTGCAACTGCACGCAATCTGTGTACTTCGGTTGTGACAGTTTTGATATGGTTGGTTCAATATGATTTCGCTACAAGTATGTGAGAGAAGCAGTGCAAATATACATTTATATATTCAAGCCGTGGAATAACTTTTTTTTTTTACTTCTGTCACTGTTAAAAGGAAGATGGTCGATTGAAAACATGTTATTGTTTTTCAAAATATGCGATACCAGCTAACGTCCGGCGACCTATTAATTTCTTTGCACTTAGTGAGGCTAGTCTCTCCCTAGTTTTGGGGCTTTCAACGGGCTATTGTCCTATTGGCGTATACGCAGTAACGATGGGAATCCTATCAGAATCTGAAGAAACTATATGGAAAAAGATGAGGTCGAAACAACTTAACATTTCCTTCTTCACTGCCCCGGGTTTGGGAGGTCAATACTTCAGCACTTGGGAGCGCATACTAATGCTTGGCTACAAAGCRTTTTGCTAGATWTAGTTCGAACACAAGAGTTYTTCTMTTGCGTGCGAYCTTTCATCTAACCTAGCCTAACRTCCGGCTGTAATATCTCTCACAGGAGCATTTCTTATAGTTATAGTCTATAGAAGGTTGTCGGAAGCGATGCACTTTTCAYTAACAGCAAACTTGTGCATTTGCAATGTAAAGTAGATAGACTTCGCGCGGTGCATCCGGGTATGACAAATGGTAAAACCGACAAAAACGAAACACATGCATACCCATTGTGGATAGAGGCCGACTTTAAAATCGAATAGCGTCTCGAATCGATCACAGTCTGGAGCGATGGAATTGGCCTCCATGGACGGCAACGAAGGAAATTTCTTTTTGAAAGAGAAAGTTTGATAAATCAGTCAGTGGAAGCGTGTCAGTGAGACAACATCGCCAGCACTAACAGAGGAACCTTTACTAGATTCATGGTGGGTTCGGGAACCTCAGGCACCGTTAAAAAAAGTCACGGTACTAAGCAGGCGATGACACCAAGGAAGTTAAAGTCAGACCACGGATTGGCCAAAAGTATAACTCACTGCAGTGGCAGACAGACTGTTCGTGAATTAGAGCAGCATGCTATGACTMTTCAGCGAATAAAAAGCGTCAGCGGGCTCGAGTGGGTTCCAATCCATAGTTTAGCCAGAGAGGTCGATGAGAGGGAATAATCCCTAAGGAGCGTCTTACGAAAACAGCATTAACGTGTAATGAAATCACTAAACGGSCCAACTCAATAGAACTGGGGCTGTGTTACTGCTGTAGATAAGATTTTTATGAAGTTGGTCAGGGAAACCGTCGAGTTATCTCCTAAATGTAAATATGCACTATGGTTTACACAAGTTTTACAGATTTATCGACGATCGCTTGGTCTCCCTATATAAGGAAGCGGTAGCCAGGCTTGGAGAGGTTTGTAAGACAGCAAAACCAGAGGCTTTGGATGGATCTTCCTCTGCGCCCTCCTGTTYGCATCTACCTTCCTTTTGTACCCTCCACCCATGAGAATAT